CTCGGGTTCTCCCTTCTGTCTGCTTGACCAGTTGAGGTCGTTCCCCAGAATTTGTTTTGGTTAAAGAAAAATAATTCCGGAATGCGCAAAAATAAAATAAAAATGCACGGAAGTGTTAAAGACACGAATTCTGTGAGTAGAGGCGTTGCTAAATTCACCAKCAGGTGCGATCTTACAGCTGACAGGGCTGACAGCTGTTCAGGAGGAGAGTAAAAGTTTTGGAGAGATGCCCCGCCCAAGTGAAGCCATATGGATGATTTTTCATATGTTGATTGGTAGCAGGATGCAGCCTTCAATTTCTTAGTCTGCAAAAGTGTGATTCACAAAGAACTGCTAGCAATCTTCATTGTTCTTCCTGTTTCTAGTGCATTTGAAACATCCATTTAAAAGTAATCTTAGCAAGTACTTCCTTAAAATAACTGTTTATTCCTTCTGCTGTTGYTAGATTGTCAGAACGGAACTGTATAGAAATTGTCACAAAACTGATTGCAGAAAAGCAGCTGGAAGTAGTGCACACTCTTGATGGCAAGGAGTATGTCACTCCAGCACAGATCACYAAGGAGATCCACGATGAGCTTCAAGTTTGTGGTGGTAAGTGTGGCATTTGCCTTCTTTTGAATTTGGAAGTCWATTTTGAAGACTTCATAAAGAATTTAAAAGTTTCAATGCCCTTAATCTTTCAGAAAAAGTCAGCTTGCTTCTGTTTGCATTGCCTACAGAGTAATTACCAGCTGCTGTTTTATTTTCACTTCAGATCTGTGTCAGGCTTTTAGATAAGCATACGAGAGATTTTACTTGGTTTATTTTCACCCATGCAAAATTTCAAAATTATTCTCCTTTCGTACCGTTCACAGTAATAATATTTGTAAATCGTCATATGGGACAGCTTGGACTGAATTAAAATTTGCTGTGATTTTGTTATTAGCATCATGCAAAGGTAGGAATTTTTAACATCTCTGGGTACGCATGGACTAGTTTAATTGGTCTACAGAAGAAGTATTTAAATATTGTGTGCAATGAGTTGTGCTATATTCTAAATCTGTTCAAATATGTTTTATGTACTAAAAGTGTATTTCAATTTTTCTTGAAGGTCGAGTTAACATTGTCGACTTACAACAGGTAACTGTAGTAATAATATCTTTATACTTTATTTTCTTCACCATGTATATTGTGAGTATGGAGTTCATTAGTTATACTGCAGCTAAGCTATTTTTTTAAAACAACAAATTTTATTAAGAGCTGGTTGCTCATGTCAGGATACTGCAGATTACTTAATCTCKCCATTTATTGCTTTATTGAAACCTCCTCTCTGCTTAATGATAATCGAGGACTTCTGGAATCACCACTGATATATACAGTTTTTGTTTAGGAACCTTTTCTTTGTAAACTAAGAAGKCAGACAGAAAAGAAATGTTACCCATTTAAATTTAAAGCTGCAGGAGCATGCATAATTAACTTTGCATGCCTCTWTGGATCTTCCCTCTTCCTTCATTATTCTCTTGTCTTCACTAATCTTTGTCCTCCAGTAGGCTTTCTCTGTGACTGATTTTCCCTTCAGGCTTGAGCAAAATTACTTGGAAACAGAAAACATTTCTGAAAACCAGTTTCCTATTTTCTATTATTGCTTTCTGGTTTTGTTTTTCTTAAATACAGGTTTCTTTTAACCTTGTCACAGTTGTAAAGAGAAGTTTTCCTCCTAAAGCATTGCTGCCTTATTCCAAAATACAGATTAAGTGCATTTATATGCAATAGTAGAAAAAAAATAAAAGCAGCTTTCCTCATGATATAGGAATGTGTAAATAATATCTCAATGTTCTTGAATGAGTTTAGTTCTGATAAGAGATTTTTTTTTTTTAGGTAATAAATGTGGACCTTCTACACATTGAAAACAGAGCTAATGACATTGTTAAATCTGAGAAAGGTATTCAGCTTGTACTGGGACAGCTTATAAATGAGTGAGTACCTTCAGGTGCAATATTTATAACACTTTTCTATTTTTTAAAACTAAAAATAATATCCAGCATTTGTTGATTCTGAAGTGAGGTACATTTTTCTTGGCTGATACTAGGGCTGCTTGGTGGTGATCAGTGCAGTGAGTCYATGGTGTAAAGGCCTTACTGCATATCTGTGTTCAGTGTCCTGCACTTCAGTGTCCTCTGCACTTAAGAGGCTTCATTTCTTAGTCAATGTCTTTGTGTACAGCAGCCAGATCTCTCTCTGGCTTTGCTGCCTGCCTCAACTATTGACAAACCTTCTCATCTCTTGTTTTACCTCACAAGCAGAAGATGTTTGGGCTAGTTATTTCATGGCTTTCAGCACACTAACAACCACTGAAGTAATACTCTTATGGGGTTTCTCTTTTTATTGATTGAACTTCAGGATATGCTCCTGTCAAAGAATGTGAAGCACCTGGCTCTCTTGAAATAGTTAAGACCTGTCTTGCTTACTAATGCCCTTTTGTAATTTTCATTAACATAATGTTTTCCTCTTTCTGTTTCTTGAAATTTTCATAAAAGTAGGTAAATGGCCCATCTTAATCCTCGCTACCTGGTTCACAGGCTTTTTTTAAAAAACACACATTTTCACTGACACTGTTCTTCTTTATTCATTTAAAATAACTTTCAGTTTATTTTTCCAAAGATGCCACAGCAAAACATGTTTTAAAAGAGCTCAGTTATTCAATGTGTGATCTTRAGGTTGACTTTGAATTTCACGCTTAATATGTTGTCTGTTGGTTTTCTTGTTTTTACAAAAGGAGTTACCTGGATCACTTAGCAGAAGAAGTAAATGATAAACTACAGGAAACGGGTCAGGTGACAATATCRGAGCTCTGCAAGGCATACGACCTTCCAGGAGACTTCCTGATACAGGTGATGAAAGCCACCAACCTGACCAAATGCAGAATTGGTTGTGTCCCCCTTTGTTCTCTTATCTCTGCAGCATCCATGCCTTTAAGTCACCATTTCGTACAGAATTAATACTAAGGCTCAATCTTAGTTTTCATTGTGCATTTCACACTCCYATCTTCTGCAAGTTTTCTGTCATTAGATACTCATATATCTGATGAAAGGAAAYCATGCTTAGAAAAGCTCAATTTTTCTATTTGCAGGCATTATCCAGGCGTTTGGGCAAAATTATTCATGGACAGCTAGACCAGGAAAACCGTGGGGTGATTTTTACCGAAGCCTTTGTGTCCCGCCATCGAGCACGCATTCGTGGACTCTTCACTGCAATTACTCGGTAAGTTGCAATGCCTGCAAACACTAAAACATTTTTGCCATAGGTCTTTATGGGCGGGCCAAATGCACTTGTGATTAAAAAGGAAAAGAAAATAAAGACCTATGGATAGATTCCCCTACGTTTAGTTCAGTTCCTGGGTCCAGTTCTCAGTTATGTTAGACTTATGTGTTAGAAATAGGGACTCTCCTTTGAAAAACAAAGGGAAGTATAACAGTATACATTATAAAACTTTCTTTAGTGTTTTGGCTGAACAAAATGTTTATCTGTARTTCCTCCATTTGTTGTGGAAAATCTGTCCTCTTGTCTCTCCTCTGCTTCCCAGTCAGTTACATGTTGATGAGGTCACTACATGTGATTATAAATAAGTTTTACTTAGTAAATCAATGCATTTCTGTGTCAATTTGTAGGACAAGGAAAACTTAGCAAAGCAAACGTTTCCTTACAATAATGATCTTAGCTTTTGTTATAACTTCACAGTAATTCAAAATTAAAACGTTGTAAAGTGTTTTAAACACCAGTGTAGTGTCCTGAGGCTAAAATAAACATAGTTTTGTTCATCTAAAGTAACCTCTCATTTCTGTATTTTCCATGGCAGTTTCATGTCATTAACTTATATTGTTTTGTTTTCCTTTTTTTCCAAGGCCTACATCTGTAAGTAACTTGATCACTCGGTATGGATTTCAAGAACATTTACTTTACTGTGAGTTTCATTCAGAATATTTTGTGTGTTTGTTAGGAAATGCATTCTTCAGTGCTAGAAGTATCGTTTCAAAGAAGCATTTTAGTATATAGCCTTAATTCTGAAWTAGAGAACAATATGTTTCTCTTTAGTGTGCAAAGTATTAAACCCTCTGTGCTATCCATAACTGAAGGGATGTTCTCTGTATCCAAAGCAATGCAAGCATGTGTTGAGAGAAGCCTCTGGGGGCAGAACGATGCAAGTACAGTACTTATTTATTCATCTCTTTCATTATTTGCCCTAAGCTACTGGCAGTTTTATCACCAAAGCACACAAAAGGGGACAGATTTTATGTAGCCAAATGTCATTAACTGCTCAGGATTTTATTTACTGACTTTTTTTCTGTCATAATGGAGGCAAAGCTTTTGTTGTACTCTTAGTTAAATGACTTTATATGCTGAGAGATAAAACATGTCTTTAAACTGTTTGCTTTTATCTTCTGCAGTTCCTTTTCTAAATAGAATTGTATAAAGATTCCCTATTCAGCTGCTGAAATCTTTAGGCACTATTTGTTTGTCACTTTGTGTACCCTCTYCTATCTCTCCAAAATGCTGCTTCAAGCATCATTAGGTTTCTATGCTGTCTGACCAAGTGCTGATGCTCTTCAAAATCCTTTAATGGTTTTCTATCTCTTCTCATGAATGTTAGTGCTTCTCTTGTTTGATTGGGTTTTTTGCCTTCAGGGCATTGCTCACTTCAGCTCCACTGTAGTATCTCTCTGCTTACCCTCTTGTTCTCTGCCACAAGTTTATTCATTAAAAATTAAAATTTTAGCACTTAAATAAATCATATAAACCCTCTACTTTCACAWAATCAATTACAAATTTCCACTTCCTTCTTTTTAATGTGCCAGCCAGGTTTTTGTTTCAGGTTTTAAAGGGAAAATCTGTGAAATCGCATTACAATATTGTCTCAATACCCAGCAAAGTTCAGTGTTTGTTTACAGTCTATTTCAAATAAGTCTGCCAAATACATCGTCATGCTTTGATCATGTACAGTGTTAATGTGAATTGAGGTTCTGGTGGTTTCCTGGCACCAGTGATCATTGCATTATGYATTTCTAGTACTTTCATGGGGTTTTTTTTAGTGAGTTTGTTAATCTTTTTCTTTAGTTTTTATTGCTATCTTCCATTAGCTCTGCAATTCCTTAATTTTTAAAGAGCTTTTTATCTTTTTACTCACTGACAGACCACATTTGATTTTATTGTGTCCATTTGCTGAGATACTATTTCAATTTCACAAATGCTGGAAAAATACCTTTTAATGATGTTAACGTTTTTGCTTTTATGTTTGTTGCTATTAGCAGCCTGTTTAAACGTCTTTGTCATTTTTCTGTCTCTTCCAGTTCAGTGTAATATTTGTATAATTTACAAACAGCTAATTATTTAATCGAATCTTGGGTTTAGACAGGATAAACGTTACTCTTTGGTTCTGTTGTATGGATGTACTGCTATTCATCTTAGGTTCACGTAAAGTTATGAYAGAAAAGTAGTTTTAGAAATGAGAAACTCATTAGGCTAAAACACTAATTACAAAGCATAAGGAAATCTGATCTTGTTCATTTCTGATTATTATTTTAATGGTGTAGGACAGACACATAGGGACACTTACTGTCTTTGCCAGATGTTGACAGAGACCTGATAGGACACTACAAACTAGTTGGTCACCTTTAAAAGTAAATGTGAGTTTATGAGAGTTCTGCAGAGGTCCTGTTGTTTTAAAACAAAATACTGTCTAGACATAATGGTGGCAGAGTCTGTGAAATGTCTGAGAGCACCTCCTCTGCCCTGGACTTTAGAACTGGCACTAGATATAATACAGAAATTAATTGACATCTTCATTTCATTTCTTCTGACGTCTTCTTTCCCCTGAGGACTCTGGTTCATTAATAGATTTCAACCATGTCTGTGGAGCTCTAGCAAAGTACTTCTTTTTCCTAAAAACTTTGAATAAAAATAAGTGGAAATTGCAAACAGAGAACCAGTCTATATTTTCTGACGATTGCTTAAATTAAATAGGCGCATTGACTCTATTTTCTAGGGTAACTAAAATATTAGGAAGTATAAAAATCTGATTTTATTTCCAGAATTGGTCTTATAAGTTCCAATTTATTCAGTGTAACTGAACCATGGCAGAACATGACTTCTGGCCCTTGTCTTAGATTACTTAGAGCTGTATCTTTTTTCATCTCTTTCTTCTTCGTTTTTTCACTGTAAGTATTGTTCAGCTTTGCTAATGGCAGTTGTGTTCAATGGCTGCTAGCTTATAGAGTAGCATCTACACTGTGGGCATGTCTGACAAAAACCATCATGATTTAATATGTAATGTTTCTTCTGGAGCTGGGTTTTCAGGTAAATTTTCCTGCATAAGTGAGCTAAATCTCTGTGTGCTGTACTAAGCATGTTGTAGTGTTGACTGCTGCTCATAATAAGGAAGAAGCCTTGCCATGTGATACCATTTAATGTTTTGTTCCAGAGTAAAACCTGTCTTTTAATGAGATAGAAATGAACTTAAACTGAGTATAAAAAAGCCATCTGGTAAAGCTCTGGAAATTAGCAGACTTGGCAGCTGATGTCACTGATTTTTTTAAATTTTTTTTTTTTGTATTACAAAAAGGCAAAAGTTGAACATAGGCAAATCAGATATTCCTATACAACTCTAATGGATTTTTAAAAATCTTAATTAGCATCAAGAAGTGCATAGTACTTTGGTACTGGCAGTTACCAATATGTTCTTTGTCAGTAGTATTTGTGCATTCTCAAGTGGTTATTATCGGCACCTGTGTTACACAGTTTAGGTAATGACTTTTCATGTGGTTTTAGTGTGTTCAGATCTCTTTTTTTTCCATCTTGGTTAATATGCAAGCAGTGGATTCAAAGAGAAGATTATTAATTAAATGCTAGTATATTTAACACTTCTGACCAGAGAAAGATTCTTCTGTGTCTGCATTTTCTAAATTAAAAGCTAAAACTGCCCAGGTATGTGTTCATAAGAAATATTTCGATTCTGCCATTGTGGCTCACTCTTTGGAAACATTGTCTGATTTCCAGAGCTTTTGTGAAGAAATTCTCATAAGTGTTAAAAATAATTGATAGAGCTCAGCAGTGTTTCACTAGAACAAGCACAGTCAACTAATTGGTGGGAAGAAAGAAGAAACAAGCCAGGGAAAATAATTGCTATCTTTTGATTAATGGATATATTGATTTAGGAAATGTCTTTTCATTTATTTTGCTCTTGTAGCTTTGCTAGAAGAACTTGTTAACGCTGGTCGTCTAAAAGGCACCGTGGTTGGTGGGAGACAGGATAAGGCTGTATTTATTCCAGACATCTATTCCAGAACACAGAACAACTGGGTGGATTCCTTTTTCAAGCAAAATGGTTATTTAGGTAATTAATCTATATTCTTGCAGATAAAATAGCTTTCTAAAACTAGTTTAGGTAACTTGTCTTACCTTAATATAGTTAGTGCTTAGAGTGAAGCCTCACAAGGATAAGTGGAAATCAATAAAGTAACTGATACTCCTTTGCTAAAAGACCATCTAGCTCATAATGAATGCGTGTTACTTTATCATAGTGACCTGTATTTCAGTGGAGGGAACTGTACTGCTAAACAGTAACTATGTCTGACAGAGTTTGTGAGAATACTACTTTTATTACTGCTCTGAAAACATTTACTAGCATGCTCGTTGCAGACTTTTCAGATCATCATGGCTGGAATTTCAGGCCAGTTGTCCATGTTACAACAAAACTTTGGCTGCTAGTAGTCCAAACATGCAATGCTCAGAAAGGTTTTTTTTTCCAAAATAATATTTGTAGAGCTAGAGTGAGTAGCACTAGTGTCCTAATTTGAATCCAGACAATTCTATTTAACTTCAAGCTGAGGGATGCTGGATGATGGTGTTTTTAAACACCTTAAGTTGTTGGAAAATGTGGATCTGAATAAAGAGAGGAATGTATTTTTATGATCCCAAAGGGTCAGTCCCTAAGTAGCAGTTTTTCTTGCACATTGAAAAGGTTCACCATAATTGACAATGATAGTATTAAGTGTTTCTGTAGTGCTGCTTGTCTGATGGACTGTCAGTCTTCAAATGTTTTCCAAATGTCTTAAGTATAAACTGCTAAATAATTGAGAACAAAACACTTAGACATTGTATGTACTGTATTGTTCATGCTATATTAGAATGCTTTGGACAGATATGACTGCAGATATGAACTTAATGGTATACGAATCTGAAAAAAGCTATTTTCTAAACTTAGGCCAAAGTCATGTCCATGATTTAATCTTCATACTTCTATTAACAATGTTTAGATGTAGCTTGTGCTGAAAAGTTTTAGGTCAGCATTAGCCTAAGGGCTGCATTTACTTGTATAAAAACTATGTGGAACTCTTCATTTCCTGCTTTCAAAATAAAGTCATCCCATGAGAACTTATATATATATGAAGGAACTAAATTTTAACAGACATCTAACTCTTTTATAGAATTTGATGCATTGTCCAGACTTGGCATTCCTGACCCAGCAGGCTACATTAAAAAAAGGTACAAGTCTACACAACTCTTATTTCTGAGAGCAGCTTGTGTTGGTCAAGAAATCGTGGCTCAAGTTGAAGCCTCTGTAGAGGAAGCCATCAGCTCTGGAACCTGGATAGATGTAGCAGTAAGCAATCCTTTCAGTTGTTGTTGGATTTATTTATGTTTTCTTATTTTTGTGTCAAATGATATTTTATTGAAACTAATGACATTCCATGTTATCAAAGAAGAAAATTCAGTTTAAGTAAAATAATAAGTAAAAAGGCATTATTTGCATTTGATTTGATTGGAACAAAAACAGGCATACTGGCATTCAGTTTATAGGTATGCAAGACTGACTTTAATTTCAAAATTAGTACTAAAGTACTTTGCTAGAGAGCAATGTATTTCTGTTGGACTTTTTTTTTGAGAAAATGCTGATACTGAATGCTTGCGACTCTTTTGGTGAGCAGAGGGATCTCAGGCACTTTGTCATGGCTAAGTCCTAATTTTAGGCCTTAGAACACTACCTTGTCACTCTTAAGTCCTGCTTTTGTTCTGTGTTTGGTGTTGCTCTGGAGCTGTTGAACTTCATTTTTAAGAAGTTGCTGTGCATTTGCCCAGAGGTAACACAGTTTCTCAATCAAAGTTTATTTGCAATGTAGAAGATTTAAAGTAATGTGTACTCTTAAATTACTAGCTTAATTTGAAAAGTGCAATGTTTTCTTAATAGTTAGCAGATATCAGATGACATCTATTCTGTTTATCCACATACAAGGTTGTTGTATTTTAATTTTCTTTACCCTAGACTCTTCTGCCCAGCTCGTTGTCAATAGAGGATGTTGGGATTTTGCTTCAGCAAGTGATGAGGTCTTTAAACAAAAGCTCTTCGGGTTTAGTCTTCAATGACACCATTGCAGTCAGTGAGAAATTTCTAAGCAGCTGTGCTGACCTCTTTTCTGATCTGATGCAACAGAAAGCTGAAAAGGTACAGTAGGTTTTTTGTTGGTCAAAATGCAGTGTGTGTTGAGTGTTGGAGTAAAGCTCATGTGCCTTTCTAGTTTCTGTTACCATGCCTGTACATCTCATCTGAAGTACAGCTAGAGAAGAAGCAAAACAAATGAGCAGCAGGTTTCTGTGTTTAATGGGTATAATTTAATGTRTGTTCTGGTGCACTCAGGAAGCACAGTTTGTTCGTGTGTTGGACTTGGAAAAACATCGTGTTTGATTAGTGGCCAAAAGGCTTAAATGTTTCTATATGTTTCTTCCATTGCTCTGTGTATCTTTTTGCTATGAAGTGCATGTTCTTCATTTTAGGAAATTAAAAACAACCCTGTTAATTTAATCACTGAAGAAGATTTAAAACAGGCTTCTTGTTTAGAGAACTCATATGCTAATAAAAAAGACAAAAAGGATGAAAGAAGAAAGAAAGCAACAGGTAAAACATGARTATTTAGCTTGAGAATAAAAAAAAGGCTTGTTTTGTCTTTGAAATAGTCAAACATAAGGTTAGTATATTTTGTAGTATTTTAAATACTTCTAGTCCATTGCTGAAGATATTTAAGAAATAAATATTTGAGAGACTATTTTCAGACTTAGAAATGCAGAGAAAGTACCATAAAAGTCTCTTGAGTTAGTTCAACACTAGGTAGCTGTTTTTAGAAGCAAGGAATCCATGTTCATTTATTATTTTATGCAGTATGATCATATAAGACTGAGTAAAACCAGTATTAGGTCAGGGACCTCTGTGTTTTATTACACAGTATGGATACACTTTTGATTTCCACTTTTCATGAATTTGGGAAAATTAATGTATTTCTTATTAGTCTTGAGATGTTAATTCCAAAACAACTTTGCCCAAATTGTGAATGAGCTTTTGGGGGTTGTTTTTGAAAAATACTTGATGTCTTTCTGAGGAAATCATGCCATAGAACTTTCTCTTGTTTGTATATGTAACAGTTACTTGGAGATTAAGATGGGTTACTTTGAGATATATCCTGGATTAAATTAATCCCTTACTCCGTTTGTGTGGTGACTGTTTGGAATAGATTTTAATAGATGGAAGAATAAAAACGTGTGGGTTTAACCCTTTGAAATCTTTTTGATTTTCAAAATAGTATTAAATCTGAAGACTGTATTTGGAGTCCCAGAAACTTCATGTGGCTCTTGTGTTGCTAAAACATACCTGAGCAATCTGTGTTGAGCTCCCATGCAGTGTTACTGTGCTACTGAAAGTATGAGAATTAGAGAACTGATTCATCTGGCTTAATTGAATATACTCATCTGCAAAATAGAACATTCTACGCTTAAAAAAAAAGCCATGAGTAGGCCTCAGTTGACATGGAAATTGAATTTATTATTGCCACAAAATATAGCAGATTTTTCCAGGCCATAGCTGAGATAGAGAAGATTGTACTTTAATTGAACTGCCATGCCCTCTGAGGAGTGAGGCTCAGTACTGATCCTGTACTTCATGTCTAGACAAATTCATATCCACAGATAACACGCTGCACCATCAGCAAACACTACCGTGAAATGTTTGATTATGGATTGTTATGTGCACTACCTAAAAAAAACCCAACATAAGTTTTATTTAATGCAATTACTGTAATGCAGTCACATTTCAAATAAGCTTGTGAAAAGCACCAATTTTTTTTTGCTCTTCCTGCAAAGTGATGCTTAAAAATCCATCTATAGCATGTAACAGATACAGTTAACTTTATAAGTAGTAGCATCTTGTCTTTGTGTCTCCTTTTCTTCAACAATAGTAGGTATATAATGTAGTTATTTGAAATTCTTGGCCAAATTTAAATGGGAAAAATAACTACTTTCTAAGGCATAGTGTATGTATGGAACCAGTTATTCTAGAGTTTAAAATTTCTTCCAAGTGAAAAAATAATGGAAGAAGCTGTGAAAAAGGGAACAAACAGCAGAACAGTTTACCTTGTGGAGAAGGGACTGTGTATAGCAAATTGAGATTCTGTCTGCAGTTGGATACGTTGACTGCAGGACTTCTGAACAAAATAATTTGTTTTGTGTGTCAGAACTGGAACATCCCATTGCTGTATTGTCATCCAAGGATAATCAAAAATGATTGAGTGTGCTAGTTATTTGAATATGTGCTTCCAATAATATTTTGGATAAATGCTTTTAGCGTAGGATTATTTTCTCTGAAAATTAACAAAGTTACATTATCTAAAATATTTTTGACAAGCTCAAGTTATTTGGCATCATTGAATAAAAATGCCAAATACCTACTGAGATGTTATTTTCAGCCAACAGAAAAATCTCCCGTTACACTAGGAACACTGTTTTCGGCTGAAGGAGCATACTGCTTTTTTTTGTTTTTTTAATTAGTGTTTGAGTTTATTAATGACATTAGCTTAAAAAAAGCTGTGCCTCAGTTGTGTTTTTTTCTTAAGATTTATACTTATGGCCCTAAGATTCTGGAATATATGTTCTAGGTCGTGTTTAGAACCAGGTTGTGATTTTCAGTTCAGTATTACCAAGTAACACAGATGAATTACCATGGTATTGTAAACTTTTTAAGTGCTGCGACTTTCCTATGTACTAAGCAAGTAATTCCCCACCAGAGGGCAGTGGAAGCGTGAGAGGAGGAGGCGGTGGGAATGCCAGAGAGATAAAGGTTAAAAAAGCTAAGAAGAAAGGAAGAAAGGATGCTGACAGCGACGAAGAGTCACAAGGGTCTGCCACAGGTTTGAAGTTTTATTTTAGGCACTATGTATTTATATCTATTCAACATGGTTTTACCACTTGCTTTTTTTGTTCTTCACCCACTGTTTAGATAAAGTCAGGTAAAATGTCAAGAAGATGAGAATACTATTTAGTTAAAATTGTATAAATGGATATTGTTGCTATTTAAATGAAACGGACATATCATGTTCACTGAAAAATACAGCTTAATCTTTAAAGAAAGACGTTTAAATCAAGGAAATAATAGCTTCTATTTTTTTTTTTATTTTACATAGGAAATGCCTTATATTTTGGAGTGAATATTACACTCGATTCTGTAACACCTGCTGAATGAATGGCAAAATTAACAAATCATAGCAATGTCAAAAAAGTTTTTTTCACAGGGACAGAATATACAGTCAGAACTAATGTTTTTGTAGTTTTAGTATCACTGCTTATTGGTGCCTATTTCTCTGCTTTGACTATTACAAGAAGGAGCGTGAGTGGCTTGCTAAGAAGTAAAAGCCAGCATTGTTAGATTTAGAGCAAACACTGGTTGCAATTGAAGCAATCGTGTTCCTTCTTTTGTTTGATGGAGAACCAGAAATGTTTGCTTCCACACATATATAGTGTCCAGATTTTCAATACTGAGTGAAAAATATTTTTAAACATATTTGAAGTGTGAAGGACGATATAGTAATTTTGTTTGATATTGCTCTCATAGAGTACTGTAATTCACATATAAATGAACTTATTTTTCAGGACTGCTCAGTTACTGAGTAAAACAGTGTTCACTCAGTTKTTKTTTTTTTTTTTTTTGTATAGGCTTTCTGTTTGGCCCTTATTGCTCCATGTATTGCTGTATTATAATAAATAGCTTGAACCATAATCTCAAATTAAACTGGGATGAAACCATTCAAATGTAAATAAGATATTTTTTAAAACCTGATTTAGGCTCCCTTTTCACTTGTTTATGATAACCCTTTTTGTTCGTTACTGTTGTGGCACGACGAGGAACATCATTGATCTCCAAACATTCAGTTACTTTATGTGCAGAATAAGCCTGCTTTAAGGTGCATCTGGAACGTGGACTGCCTGTCCTTTTCTGGCTCTCTGTCATCATTCTGATCTCATTATTATATGTAAAAACTAAATTCTGCAGCACCCAAGAAAACTTTGTGTGCTGTGCAAAATCAAAATACGGATGCACTAAAGTTGATTTTATTACTGGAACACCTTGTCTGGTTTAATACTACTTTTTTCATGTCTCAGATTTTGTACTGTAACCTCAATTTTAGGATACTGTGTTACATGATTATGTACCTTACTAAATGGAGTTTAAAAAAATAAAAACAACCACCTTGTAAAATCCTTCAAGTAGGAACACTCTGTTCAGTTTTGGCATTTTAAAATCTATTTGGTCTTGGTGACATTATGGTTTCTAAACTAATGGGCCCAGCAGGCTGAAAAAAAATCTCACCAAAAATGCATATCCTCATACACTCCTTAAATTATTGTCTATTAAAATATAATAATGCAATTTCTAAGTGATCAAAAGAGAAATTTGGTTCATTTTTCAAGCATGTAAAATTCAACTGTGATGTGTATTCATTCTTTTTTTTTCCGTTGTTGATAATGCATTTCTTCTGTGGTGTTTGGACTTTGAAGTTTTCCAGTGTCTCATGCCATAGAACAATAGCAGCAATGCTAAATGGAATGTTTTCTCAGTGAATGTTGTCATGGCCACTACAGGTAGGAATAAGAAGCCGGAGTTCCCTTTCATGTCACAAGAGGAAATTGAGGATGTTTTAAAGACCCGCATGCATGATTGTCCTGAAGAGCTTATTACAGAAATTGCTGAACATCTAAGAAGGTAATTTCAATAATTCTGCTGGAGTTAGAAAATTTGTGATTCACTTCAGGTGAATCTACACTTCAGTCTGTTTTTCTTGCTTAGAAAAATGTGCTTTGTTGATAGAAGTGAATCACAATATTCTTTTTCTGTACAGCTCCATGTTATACACATCTTACATTTTAGAAAGCTGTGCTGACACAATAGTGTTCTTCTACTTAGCAGTACCTGGTCCTGCAAGCTTATCTTCAGCATGATGGCTGTATTTCCACCCCTTTACTCTGATCCATGCTGGGGGTTCATCAGTCCCATCTTATGGACAGCCTTTGGTACATGTTCATGTTCCTGCCATTTGTGTCACTGCTGTAGCCATRCAAACTGGGTAGTAAGTTATGTCAGCAAACTGAGCTATGCAAAGATGAATTGTTTCTTCTAAAACATGCTCCGTACCAGAGAGGATGTGAATATGTATGTTCAGAGCAAAAGAACATGATAAGAGCACAATACCCAAGCTTGAATGAACTTAGAGTGCAATAGTAACTGTGTCTTTAGAAATTTTTCCAGAGACCCCTGAAAGTTGGTGAATAGCATTGCTTCTGGAAATTTTTATCTTTCACCTTGTTCCCATTTAGGAGTTGTTAAAAGTTAAAACCTTGGCATACATTTACATACCACACATACTATAACATTAGTATATCTACCATTAAGTACATATTTATTTCCTTGGGGTTTTTTTCTGGTTTCCATTATTTGCCTTTTGTTTGTCTCACCATTCTGTAGCATTCATGTCCCATTCATTTACTGTGTAATGAGGTAGCTTTCTCTATTGCAAATATATTTGGGAAGACTTATTATCATTTCACACTTTGCTCAATGTTTTCTTCTTTCTTCTTTCCTGCTCTAAGACCTTTAACAAAAACTTATCAGGAAGTTGTGCGTTCTGTTTTTACGTCTTCAACATCTTCCTCTGGAGCAAACAGAAGACAGGCTATGAAGGACTTGCAGGAGGAATTCTCAAACTTGTACAACAACATTCGGTTATTTGAAAAGGGAACAAAGCATTTCACAGGTACAAAATACATATTTAAATTTAAATGTTAAATTTATTAATGATGTTTATATGACATACAAACACAGATGTTAAGTTTGTTCCAGATTCTACATAGAAGGTCAAAGAGGAGCAACAGTTGAAAAAGAAAAACCTAAAAAGGAAAAACTTTAAATGTCTTTACTATGCCTAACACTTCTGTTATGCTGAAGTGTGTTACTTTGCACACTTGTTGAACTACATTCTCTGTACTTTATATCTGTATTCTGTTATGTCAGGATAAGTGTGTTCTTATCCTTTCTTCCCAAGCATTCTCACTCCTTCCAATTTTTCGCTAAGTAAAAAAAAAGGGGGGGGGGGGGGAGAAATTAGTAAGCTCACTTTATTCTGTCAGCTGTGCTACTAATGATTGTGTACCACTAGATTCTAAGCTGTTGTTTGAACCTTACAGGTTTGATACTGAAAGTAGCTGCTGCTTGAGGATAGTCTATCAGAAAGTTGTAGATTTGTTTTACAGGTGTTTACTTTAAAGGTGTGAGAGAAAAGTTAGCATTAGGAAAACGCTGTAGACATTTCCAAGATTCTCTGCTGTATTCAGCTTTCTTCTAGAACTTTCCCTATGGAAAACTTTTAACAGAACCTGATATTCCTGTATTTTGGGATATATGTCCAAGCATTTGTTCTTGGACATGTATTCTGTAGCTTCTTTTTATTTCCAAATTCTAGTATTACAGTCTTAAAGCCTGTTCTTCCATTTAGCTGCTTGTCCTGCAGAATTTTCCTTTGAATACTTTTGATGTGATCAATAGCAGTGGTTCAGGAGGATTGATTGTACAAGGTCTAGTTTACTGCTTATTAACATTAGCAATGCATAAAAATGTTCTTACAGATCTGAAAGCTGACATTTTTCACTGGAGAATGTTCCATAAGAATGTTACAGCAAATGAGGGATGTTATCTTCATGTATCCAGATAACTTTCTCATATTACTCATGGTGGATAGAGTCCGCAGTTTAGAAGGTGCTGTGATAATGTCATAGGAATCAGATAACTGTAAGTTACTTTAATCACTCATTTCTTTCAGCAGATGATACTCAGACTAACCTTGCCAAACACCTGTTGAAGACTCTGTGTACAGACATTACAAATCTGGTTTTCAACTTCTTGGCATCCGAGTCAATGATGACAACAGAAAATTACTCTACAATCACAAGTGAGGTACAGAAATAACAGTTCCTTTCTAACAGTCTCAAGTAAATCAGTGATGTCGGTTCAATAAGAAATTGCTTCAGTTGAAATATGCCTCCATCTAAAAAGATTGATAATACAGATTATTTCCATTCTTGTCCCATACAGGGCAGAATCAAGATTTTAGGTAAACTGCCAGAAGATACCAAAGGTCCTTTAACTAAACTCCATACTTCTCTGAATGGCAAGGTAAAATGAATCCAAGTTCAGGGTTTCTGTTCTGCTGATACAATTCTAATAAATAGCTGGCAAACATAGTGTAGTACACAGTCACTGCTGTTGTGGATGATGAAGGTAAAATAATCTTTTGAATTTCCGTAAAGCACTGAGGAAGGTGTGTTTCCATATCTGTGAATTTGCAGAGGTGAAAAGGTGTTCTTACATTTTGGTACTGATAGTCACCTTTGGCTCTTTGCTGCCAGATGAAATCCAGAGTGTCTTTTATGGGCAAGTGAGAAGAGTGAGAGCTGAGATAGAATCTCAGAGAATCAGTGTAAAGTGGTTGATGTTTCTTGTATTTTGTTCCCAAAGTTCTTGGTTGTTCTCCCATTTATTTCTTAACTAGTAAAACTACTGATATTTCAAAAAAACCCAAATGTTCGGATTATGGTAGTGTAGGCACAAGGAGAGTTATTTATTCTTTAATGCAAAAGGCCATACTGAGGTGTTTCTTAATAAAAATATATCTGTAAATAATTTTAGAACGTGTTCATTTTTTAATTTAATTTCCAAGACTAATGAATTACAGTTTGGGTTACTATTTAAGTATATGAAATGTTATAAGATGACCAAAGGTAATTTCTGCTAAATACATGTTACTTTCTGTTTTTTCTGTAGTTTATTTCAAGTGTATTCACAGTTGTCTTTCTGTCTGATTAACTGTGAACAGTAGTTAAGCTTTTTTATAATCTGATAACACAGATTAAATATGTATATTATTTTAAATAGAGTATAGAAGATTTTCTTTCGTGCCTTGATTCTGCAGTGGATATTTGTGGTATTATGGTGAAAAAAGGAGACAAAAAGAAGGAAAGGTATGTTAATTTTATTTATTCTATGAAGTATAGCTATATTGCTGCACAAATGGGGGATGGTTAGTATGGGAGCAGTCACACTGAATATGTAAGCAAGAGGCAGTCCTTTCTGAAGTGCTTAACTGAAAAAAAATCAAGCAGTCCTAAATCCATGGGAGAAGGAGGAGAGGAGAATTCACATTTAGCTAATTTTCTTGATTCACTGCTTTCTGCAGTATAGTGTATAAATTATCTAGGGGTCTTTCAAAATCTATGCCAGTGATAGCTTTTTTTTTTATTTTTGAATTTCACATAAATGGTCAGTTTTATTAATTTATCAATTAATAAAATTAATTTATGTTAGATGTGTTTTAATGTCTGTAATCAACTRCTAGAATCATAGAATCATATATTTGTTTAATATATTCTTGTTCCTTAGGCAAGTCCTGTTTCAGCATAGACAAGCTCTTATTGAACAGCTCAAAGTCACAGAAGATCCAGCTCTTGTTCTGCACCTGACATCAGTACTGTTATTTCAGTTTGCAACTCATTGCATGCTTCATGCACCAGGAAGATCAGTACCACAGATCATTAATTTCCTAAGTGGCAAGATCCCAGAGGTATTCTTTTCTAGCTTTTAAAGAAAGTGGAAATCACTTTTTTTTCCATGTCAGAACATTGAAGTTGTGCCTTACGCTATTTCTGCTGCATAAACCTGACACCATTGGGTTTCATGTCTAAACATTACTTCATGTGCAGAATATACAATTCCTCTGATTTGTACTGTATTTCAAACTATCGTTTCAGGGGTCTGTCATGAAAACTTTTTTATAAAATTAAAAATCAATATATTATGACTCCTTTGCCTTTGTCCATAGAGACAACTCTGTCTTGGGGGATGTTACAGTTCTTATAAATGAACATTTTTTTCCTCAGAGCTAGAGCATGGTTGCTTTTTAAACTTTTCCATTTTTAAAGAAAGGTGTACTTCTTCAAGAGCAAGTACACTGAAATTCTGTATTTTATACTGCCAAAACTGGTGATGTTTACTATCTACATTGCTTTCATGCTTCAGTGGTTAATTGTCCTGTTTTTGCAGCATGGCTGCACTTTCAGTTTTCTGCCTCTTTGAATGTCTCTCAGAATTTAGGTTGTCAAATACTTTGCTGGAAATATATTTATGTACCGTTAACTCTCTTTACCCAAGAATGGGAGAATGCTTTTTAAAAAATTAAATGTTTAATTATAGGTCTGTCTACTTTCTGCATAACATTGACCTCCCCTGGTTTTGTTCTCATTTTTTGCCCTCAGGATCAGCAATCTCTGTTAGTCAAATACCACGGATTAGTGGTGAAACAGTTGACCAGCCAGACTAAGAAAACTGAACACGGAGACAGTGACACAAAAGATAACATGGAAGAGGAGGAAGGAGCAGAAAGCATTCGAAAAGAGCTCCAGGAAATCACTACCTCTATCAAAGATCTTGTTCTAAGACCTAGGAAGTTTTCTGTAACAGAGGAATAAAACTGTTATTCAGCTTATCCACCTCCATGATAGAGTCAGATTTTATTTTCCTCTCTTGTGAAAAAAAGGGGCGATAGAAAATGCTTGACAAACTTTAAAATTTGGCTTCTAGTAATTTGCCAGGGAAATCACAGCCAAGGAACACAGTTGCTGGGTGATGATGGCAAATGGAGTTCTGTTATACATTACTACAGTAACACTCATTAATGTAGATGTGGCAGAACACAGCTGTGGGCACTCTGAGTATGAAACCAGTGGATTTTAATTGGCATCCTCCTGTGAGGCCTCAAGAAATTATTCTTCAGATCACAGTGTATTTTGTTTCATATACACACAGGCTSATAGTTTTACTTCTCTGATTTGGATTTGTAGTGACATAAGAATTGCACATAAATATCTCTAAGCCTGTCTATTTTATATTGAAATACTGGTTTTTAAACATACTCTGATACCTAATTGCATACCAGCAAAGGCCATCTTTACTCTGGTATCATTAGTGGATTTTTTCAGCTTCTGTTCACTGGACTGCAACAGTAAAAATATTTTGAGTACAAGTGAGTATTGATAAACTTAAGGGAAGTGACCCAGTGCTAATGTGAGTTTCAAGATGTATTGAAAGTTCATGAATATCAGCACACTCATACTACTGATGCATTCTGCTAATATCTGAAATAGCTGCTCATTTAAAATTTGTAATTTAGACAGGGGAGGTGACATTCTTTTGCATTGGTGTTTTGGGAACAGAAAAATACTGTTACACCTGCCATGTTATACATGCCAGATGTTCATTCAGCAGACTTGTTGAGTGGTCCAGTTCCCATAGCAGATAGAAGCATTCGTTTGCATTCTGTCAGCTCTTGAGAGAATTTGTGGTGTGCTGCTTATCCTGAGTTGCTTGAAAATAGTTTCGTTTATGATCTTTCTACGTAAACTTCATGGACAGAAATATTGCTTTCCTCAAGTTTTCTGCCAGCCTTATTTTTACATGAGCAGTACTTTATGTCTTCAGGAAAGGGCAAAAATGTGAAAAATGGAGTTCTGCCAATATTAATGACATGATTCTTGTATGGCAAATATATTTAGCTGATTTTGAAAAGAAGATAATTTTCTAACTCGAAATATTTAAGTTCTTTTACTTCAGGGATGCCTGTTGATCCAGTGTGTAATTTCAGGGGTCTGCATTACATCAAGGTTGAGTAATAAGAGATGAAATAGCATTCTTTTCACTAAAAATGTCATTCACCAGTTCTTGCCAAAATTGATGCTGAGAGCAAATTCTATGCAAATTCTACTTCATTCAAATGTTTCTATTTTCCAACAATTCATGTATTCTTTGAGCTTAATCATGAACATACCCAAGCCTGAAATTGCAGTAAGTGGAAGAGGCCACTTATGTGATGAGAATCACCCTAGTAACAGAGTAACAAATGTTAAGGTAATTTTGGTGATGTAAACAATAGGATTTTACACATTTAAAAGGCAGTAATGTTTAACAATGTTCATGCCAATGTTGATCTTTTATCAGCCATAAGGCAAAACAGTTTGGAGTTGTAAAGCAGAAGCAAAGTGGTTTCTCTTTCCTTGGCTGGAGGTTATAACAGCTGTCAGTAAAAGACAGTGAGGAATAAAAGATGGAAAATGTTCAGGTTGTTGAACTTTGTTTAAGAAATAGTTTGTATACAGGAAATAGGTTTGATTTCATGTTATTTAGCCAGAATAATTCTTAAGTTCCTATAATGAATGTAAACAATTTTATATGACATTGAGCTATTTTGTAAATAATACGCTATATGAAATTCTATATGCAAATATGAAATTATTTTAATAACATTAAATTAAGTACTTAAAGAGCATTCTGTTGACTCCACCAGTGTTTGATCATCTTGCAACTTGTAGCTTTCAAACAGCAATTGGTAATATCCACTGTTAGGCTTAACATACTATTCTTAGGGTCCCTGTATGTTTATTTGATACAGTTTTATGCTGGTATAATAATGAATTTACGACAGAATTTACTTTATCAGGTGTTCAACTTGCTATATTGCAGCCTATATTATAAGAAGGATTAAAAAGAAATAGATTCTTTGAATTAGATACTGTGGAAGCACTGCATTCAGAGATGTCTTCTGGCTACTAGCAGAGTTTGAGGAGACATGGTTGGAAAACTCCCAGGTACTTTTTGTTGGTTCGGAAATTCAATCTTTTTGATACAAAAAACTATATAAAAAAAAGGAATTTTGCAAATTCCACAGGGGTTTTTCCTCTCCTTAGGAGGAATGTATGTAGGAGAAACAGTAATCTTGTCTTAAAAATAAGAGGTGCACTTCACAAAACAAAAGGGCCCTTTGGAATATCTATGAAAGGCACTACGAAATGTACAAATTAATGCTTTTATTCTGGTTTCAAGTGTTAGTGTCAGCCTCTCATGCCCTTCACTTACAGTGTCTAAGCACCACCATTATATTTTCAGAGTCATAAACTGATGTTTATAGCTGCATGTATGTGTATACACAGCTCACAAATGTTCTCATAACCTTGTTTGCTGCTACTCTCAGATTGGAGTGGGTGCATTAGCTATAGGTGTAGTAATACCTGTCYCAGCAAAGCCTTGCCTTTCCTTCTTTTTAAGTGGCAAAAGATGACTTTTGTAGTTAGTTACTTGCAGATCTGCTGGAAATAAGCAAATTGTTGCTTGTTAGAACTTTCAACTCTCATTTCCCAGCTTAAAAAAATCTGACACAGGTTGCTAAATAATATCACTGGGTTTTGTTGTCTGCATGAGCCCATCTGAGAGCTTGTTCAGATGGAAGTGCAGTAGTTCTGTTCTCCGTGTGGGCTCATGAGCAAGGCTACTGAAGCAGTGGTTTCTCCTTAAATGTTTTTCCTTATAAGTAAAAGTAGGCCAAGAAAATGGAAATTTCTACAAATCAGGGTAGATTGGGGGTTTCTTGTTTAATAGGAATTTCAGTACTCTTGCAAATGACACAAGAATGTAGTGGGTCAGACTGAAGGTCAGTGTATCCCAGTATTGTGTCTCCAGCAGAGGCCAAAAGTGGGTGCTTGGAGAAGTATGTAAGAACAAGGCATGTACTATTTCTCCTTTGAGTTGTTTTCTGAGCCTTCAATCCTTGCTGCTCAAACTTTTTGAACAGCAATTGTATTTTATTATAAATGCTCTCAGCTAGCAAAATAACAACATATTCAGTAAATGCAAAAGATATTTTGTCAGGAAAACAAGGTATTTAGGAATTGTTTAGGAATGCCATCTCTTTGAGATTTTGTTTTTTAAAAAATGAATATTCTAAATTGGGAAGAGTAACTTGAGTAGTTTAATCACCATTTGCTTGATGAACTTCCAAAACCCTCAACATGAAAAGGAAGATAGGTCAGGACAGGTCTTGTTGGGAGACAGATAAAATAAGTTGCTTTGTATTTCGGGAAGTTCAGGAAGAGTTTTGGGACTCCAAGAGAGATCAGCAAACACATAGTCTGAAGAAACAACAGAATTTTTGTTGACCTCCTCGTTTTTTACTTAATTTGTACCTGTTGGGAAAAACCCTGATTCTGCTTTGGGTGTTTCTCTGGGCTTGTCTTCTATTAATACATTTATTATCTCTTACCTACAGTTAAGGCAGATTTGGGGGTAGTCTTTGAAGCGTAAGGAGAGTGATGTGCTGTAGGACTTGTCTGAACTTCTTGTCCTTCATGGAAAGAACATACTGTGTTAGAAGAATTTCTAAGTGTCATTAGCTCCTTCAACAGATCTGCTTGGGTAATACTTCGGTTTTGACCTGGTTAGGAACTTTAAAAGGTACTTGGTTAACAACTATCAGGTTTTTTTTGTTTCTGGAAGCAAATGCAAGACAAACCTGTTCACGATTCTCATTCTAGACTCGAATTCACACCTAACTCATCCTCTCTCTCCTCAATCTGCTAAAGTCACAGGCTTGAAATGAAAAGGTGCTTGGTATAAATAAAGCTTATAGCACAAATAAAAACAGGAGGAAAGAGATCAATCTTGTTTAAATAGTGACTATGTGCCTGGGGAGGTTTAACAAGACCACAAGCAGAGATCATCAGTTCTTGGCAATAGTAGTCAGAGGATCAGTCTTAACTGTGAGACACTAACTAGACACAGATAACCTCCAGAACATGTCCAGATTTGGCAATTTTACCAAAATATTCAGATAACGTAGTACATATTTAAACCATTTAAACATTTCCTCCTTTCGTCTATCTGTGATACAGAACAGCTCCCACCCACTTGACGTTATAGACCGAGTGATTCAGATCTATTGGCTCTGGGTTGTGGAAAAATCTGCCTGGAGGTCAGTTGTGGTCATACCACAAGCAGCCATCCTTTCTTCATTCTGCCTAACTTCAGTCTGCTTTTTCAAGTGGTCACAGTCTCCTTACTTTCAGCTGCATTTCACTAAGGGTCTGCTCAGAGTCTGATGCAAAGTATGAGGAGCTCTGAACGCTCTGTGCAGGCAGGAGTGTGTCTGTGAAATCTGGCTCCTATTGGGTCCAAGCAGAAAGTAAAGGAGGTGGCTGTGATTCGCCACTGGGAAATACTGAGAGAGAGCCTGGAGGAGTCCATTGCTGCCACTTGGTAATCCTGTATGAACACCTTCCCACCTGCTGGAAGAGCAGCAAATTGTTACAGCCCAGAAACTGCTTAAGAAGTGAGAGAACTTCTGAGTTCTGCTGTGTCCCTGAACATCTTTCCTGAAACTGGAGGAGGTTTTTCCCTGCCCTCCCATTTCCTGTACACAACAATCAGACTTTAGTAATTGCAACTTTTCTTTTTCTTTTCTGATTTACAAGCCCACATGAGGTCTTTTGGATTCACTATGCATGAACCTGTGTGTATCTGGAGATGAATAATATTCCATCTTACTTTCTTTTTTCCCTTGCACTGAACAGTTTTGTTTTTTAACAGAAATGCCTCAACATTCCTTTCAAYAACTCTCAGAAATATGTTCCTTTAAGAACCTCCTACATGGTATGTATTTGCAATTTGTAAACACAGTATGTCAAAGAATGATTTGAGTCAGTGGTGAGATATTTGCATGTCATGAGGTCTAAGGGAAACAAACTGACCCTCAGCCTTCCCCCATCCAGTCAAATTCTGATGGGACCCTCAAATAGCTCTGGCAAATTGTTCTGTTTCTTTTGGACTTGATGAATGCTTGTTTCTGTGAAGACGTGTAATTATTTCTTCCTTTATTTTTGCTGCGCAAGTTACCAAAAGAGGCAGCTTGAAACTAAATGTGAGTATTGAGGCTCTTCTGTTATTCCTTTAACTGATAATTTTTAAACATGTTAGTATACAAGATACTTAATTTACTATTTTGATTAAGTAAGCAGGAACTTTTTCTCACACACAGAGCTGCTAAATAAATTAGAGGTAGAATTCTGTATCTAGAACATTTTTTAAATGTTCTGTATCTAATGAGATACCACACTTTTATTAAATCTTTTTATTGTACTAATTGGCTCACCCACTAATTTGCAGAAAGATTGTTTGGGGTTTCCTTTGTAAAGGAATGAGTATGAGTTTTGTTTACTCCAAAGAATCATCCAACAAAAAATGCGTATGCTGTTTCCCATGACATTTTTGTCTCCTAGCAAGATTTTGTAGCTATTTGCTTTTGAAAGAAAAATTTCTAGAGTGTGTAATTTCTGTTGTTTTCATTTGTTTCTAACATAAGTAATTTTAATAACTAATGTGGATTACTATTGATTTTGGAAGTAAAACCAGTTTCCAGGCTGATTTTTATAACAAATCAAAATATTGCTGTAAACAACGTGCATCATCTCCAAATTTCTCCCTCCATGAGCCATTTTGTGTTATCTTTCAGCTATTATACTTCTAGGATCATAATTTTATTTGGAATTTACATTTAGAAAGCAAGTTTCAGATGTCTTTCATTTTGTTTGTGTTAGTGTTTTTCTTCTATTTGTGCAACAAATTGTTATTTCCACAGTAGCAGAACCAACAGTAGTGGAATTAATATATTAACATTTTAACAGATTGCTGATGGTCTTCCCATGTAATTTTACTGCTGGATCAGGAAAGTCACTTCAACTCAAAGGTGTTTAATCGGTAGAAACTTGAGATGATACTAACTAACTTGCAGAGTTAGAGAAAAATTAATTCAAAAGCTGCTTAAAAGAGGTTCTCTCTTTTAAGAGACATATGGTGTCTCCAAATTATTTTCAGGCAGGTATAATTTACAAAGCAAGTGTTTTTTGGTTGACATGGTAAATCATATGTTCTCTCAGCTCTGTAACAATAATGCCAGCTTTCTTCATTTATTTTCCCCACCAGAGTTTTATTTCTCAAAAGAATAGTTAAAACTTTAAGTATTGCCTTAAAGTAATCATGGACAGAGAGAAAGAAGTATTTTAATCAGCATGCTTCCAGATGTCAAGCCCAAAATCAGAGGGTGAAATTCCAAACCTGTTGGAAGGAGCAGCCCTCCTGCCAACCCAACTCTAGGTGCCGTCAAGGCTCTTAGATCACCTGGGGAGTAAAACCGAGCTGTTTTCTGCCCACTTCCCTGCCAATTTAGGGTGAAATGGTGCTCATAAATGAATCATTTCTAGTTCAACTTTCTATTAAAATCTCTAGAGCCCTAAGTTTGGAAGTTGGCGCAGGGAAATGCTGCTAATGCTCCACTTGGGCTGCTACAGCTGAATTCATTCTTCTGGGAGCAGGGCATGCAGCTCTTGTGAGAAAGGAGGCTGTGAGCTCCTTGTTTCATACATTTGTGTTTCCCTGTAAAATGTCAGAGGGATCAAATAAGGACAGTTTTGTGGGAATATGCAAACATGACTCCAAGAAAACAAGGTAATGGAACTCCATGATATAAAATTCTGTAGCAGAGATAGTGATGGACAAGATTTGCTAAGGGAAGCTATGCTGCCTTGGTTCCTTTATAATGATGGCTAAATTTAATTTCTGCAAGAAATCATCCTGGAAAGGAATTATATCTGTCCTTCAGCCCAAAAAAGTGCCTTGCTCATTAGCCTCAGCAGGTTTAGATTCGTTTTTGTGAATATCCCCATTCTCTGTTGCCATGTACTACAGATCAGCTATCCTCCCTTTATTGTTCCCCTTTCTTAGACTAAGAGTTTTCTTTGATTCTACTCCATTCATGTTAGTATGCTGCTTTTCTTCCCATCTGTGGTTGCCTTGGAATCTGATTTTTTTCAAGATCCATATAAGAGGACTGGTTAATTCTTGCACATCTCAACACAGTGTGGGCAACGGATCTGAAAAGATTGTCCAGCTCTTGCTGGCCTCACACTTCAGAGTCGTTATCAGTCAGAAAAATATTAATCTTCCTGTGATGTGTCTTTGTACATAGGCAGCAGAATTGATAGCAGGGATGGCCAAGTGCCAGAGCACAGTGTAAGAGCTGACAGAACATTTTGCGTAAGAATATTCATCATAACCTCAGAGTCATTAATGGCAAAGCACACAACTGGAACATTTTATTACTTGGCTAATTTTGGAAGTGCTTTCCACCTCTAGCACTGGAGGTTGACCAAATGCCACCCTTTGTACAGTGCTTTTAACTATCCCACACCARTGCCATGGATACAGCCTGATGAGCAGACCCATCTAATGGCAAAAGTGCAGTGAATGGATTCTTTTGTTCCCACTCCCACAGGTTTGCTCTCTGACCTTGAGGAAGTCAACTACACTCCTTTGACAATTATTAACCTTTCCTGTAGACAAGTATCACACAAATGTGTTTTAGGACTACTTTATTATTGTTAGAAAAGTAGTCTGAAGCCTTTGAAACCTTTGAAAGGAAGGCTGTAAAATACTACAGAGGTTTGGATTTTAATTCTAGTTATCAGAAGCTCATAAGAGTATTAGGCTTGAACATGCTTATTGAGCTCAATCTTTCTCAAGTGAGCTCTTCAAGTTTCAAATTCAGCCACATCATTATTCATTTATGTATTWAAATATGCAAAACTGTGGCATAATTAGAGTTCTAAAAGTCTAATTTGCATGGGAAAAAGAAGTTTCGTGTACAAACTATTTCATGCTGGTTTTCTAATTGTCAATCTTTGTTTAGTTTGGAGATTGAAAATTGAAGAGCACTGAGAAAAATTTCAAATTATAAGTTCAAAAGAGTTTGGGCTTGTTGGATTTTTTAAAACACAGTAGCAGAATTCTTAATTGGTTTAATCACCTGCATAGACTTTTTACTGAAAACTTTTACTCAATTTTACATAAATTAGCAAAAAGAACGTGGGTTGTATTTGTTCCTTAATGCAGTTTCTGCTGCTGTGWTCTGCTCTCCCCCTGCTCAGACCGACCTTTTTCACCACAGTCGCTCAGAGTTATGGTCTCTGAGTATCACTCTCTACCAAACCTGGCAGTTCCATTTTAGATTTGCAAAGATGATTGTTGCTATGTTCTTCATATCTTCACTTGAACAGACATTACTGGTTTTAGAGGAATTCTCGTTGTACAATATCCTTGAGCTAAATTACACGTTCCTAAAATATTCCTAAATGTTAGAAAGGAATTTCTTCATTCTTACCAAATTTCCTCCAGCATTCTAAAATTTAGCCATGGGTTTCTGAATGGTTTGTCTGAATCAAACGTTGATTGTCTTGTGTGTTCAGATAAACTTTAGCCTTAATTTTCCATCAATAAGAAAATGTCAATCCTACATTGGAACCAATTTTTAGATAGTGTGTATTTATAAGCATAGAGAGAAATCCACTCTGAAAGTCATAGTGCCAAAACAAAAACACAAACAAACAAACAAACAAACAAACCNCTTTTTCACATGTCAGGACATTACAAAAATCCCATCAGGGCAGTTACTGAAGGGTCAGTAACCTCACATCATAATAAAGAAAGACTGAATACCATGGTCTACTAATATTAAATCATAGTCACTTTTAGTATATTTTAAATAGAAAGAAAATGTTTAATGTGTGATGCGGAGACTTTGAGGCTTAAAGGAAATGTCAGGATAGCCAGTCACATAATTGTTCTGCAGATTTTATCTCCCAAGTAGGCAGAGCAGGTARTGTAAGAGTCATAAAGGTTTCAAGGACATGGCAAATGTCACTGGCACRAACCCAGGGCTGAACCTCTGCAAGGAATGGTCAATGTTGTTGCCACAGGATGTGAGAATTCAACTTAAAACTGAGTCAATGTTGTGTTATTCTCCGTCTTTTTGACAGCACATTATCTATTTAACTGCTTAAGACTCAAGAGGTCTTTAATTAACATTTTTTGCCTACTTAATGGATAATGCACAAAGCCACATATTTAAAGAAAAGGAAAACAAAAAAGAAAAAAACACCAATTTTTTTTCTGTATTTGTCCTAGTGACACTGTAGAGGACAAACAAAAAACCAAAGACCTCCACTCCCTGCCCTTTCTTCCACCAGCTCCACTCCTAAAAGTGTTCTCCTAAAAAGGTTCACTGCCTTCAAAATTACCATTGTGAGATCTCTTCTAAAACTGTTTTGACACTGTGAGTCCATATATCCTTTAGCTATGTTGGAATGAAATGTGCTGGACAAMTATCCACAGTGAATATAGGACACAATGTAAAAGAATGTGTGTAAATGAATCTTTTATCCGTTTTTCCCCAGCCCAAACGCCAGCAGGCTGTCCTTGATGCACCTACRTAGTTAAACTAATATGGTTTTCCTGTCCACAGTGTATTTAAAGCATTCAGGGCAAAAAATAAAAACAAAAAAAGCTACCCTGCTGTAATTCCACATCGTTGGTGACACGCATGCACAGCCCAATTCACTGTTTTGAACTGCAGCCTTGGTGCAGATGCTGAAGCCTCATWAGGGAATTGTGCATAGCATTACCCAATAGATAAGAGCACACCAACCCTAACCCTAAYCCAGAAAATATTTACTCACCTATTCTGACATCCAGGAATTGAGATAGATTACTCAGCTACATTAATTTGCATGCACATGCCAATGTTCTAAATGATTCATTCT